CAGGAGCCAGGAGCCAGGTGCTTTTCCTGGTCTCCATGGGGTGCAGGGCCCAAGCACCTGGTCCATCCTCCACTGCACTCTCTGTCCACAGCAGAGTGCTGGCCTGGAAGAGGGGCAACCGGGACAGAATCCGGCGCCCCGACCGGGACTAGAACCCGGTGTGCCGGCGCCGCTAGGCGGAGGATTAGCCTAGTGAGCCGCGGCGCCGGCCTGTGCCCACTTATTTTAAAATGCTTTTTATTTATATATGGTGGACAAATTTCATGTATTTAATATACACAAATTTAGGAGCATAGTGATACTTCTCATGCTACCCTCCCTCCTGCCCACACTCTTACCCACCCTCCATGCCCACTTGTTTATAAGTACAAAAGGTAATTCAAAAATTTCACAGAAAATTGGAATTAAAAGATGTTTCTTTCAGTGAAAAAAAAAAAAAAAAAAACCATGCATACAAGGTCTTCAAAAATCTCATGCAAAGTGCCTATTACGAAAAAACTATGGACTTCTTTCAGAATGTTTTGCACCAAAGCTAACTGATCTTTCAATTCCATTTTCTACAAACATTCTAAAGTACCCTCATATTGTACATGACGGATTTCCACTGCAGCACCAGAAACGAGTTGTTGCTGCAGACCTGTCCCTGCACCCATGTGGGAGACCTGGAAGGGGCTCCAGGCTTTAGCCTGGCTCCGCCCTGGCCTTTGCAGCCCTTTGGGGGAGTGAACCAGAGGATGGAAGATCTCTCTCCTCCAACTCTCTCTGTAGCTCTTTCAAATAAATAAAATAAACCTTAAAAAGAAAAAAAAAAAAAAAAAAAGGCTGCTTGGGATGCCCACATCCCATATTAAGGTGCCTAGGTCCTAGTTCCAGCTACACTTTCTGTTCCAGGTTCCTGCTAATGCACACCCTGGGAAGCAGGGGTAACAGCTCAAGTAGTTGGGTCACTGCTATCCATGTGGGAGACCTGGATTGGATTCTGTGCTACTGACTCTGACTTGGCAATGCAATGGCTGTTTGGGAGAATGAATCAGCAGACATAAACTCTGTCTGTTTGTCTTTCAAATGAAAAGAGGGGAGGGGATGAGAAAGGAGAAAAGAGAGGAGAGGAGTTCATTGTAACAAAAAAATGACATACTTATGTGGGGGAAAACAGGGGATCAAGAGTGGAACTTCCCAATTAGTTTAGTATAAACTTCCATAAGATGATTTACAAAGTCTTTTCATTTTTATCATTTTTCTAATCTACATATGTTTTATACAAATTATATTCCATATTTCTCTAGGATGTGTAATTATATGCTTGCTTTCAAGTTAGTAAGCCCAGTAGAAATAAGCAAGCTCACAGATGAGGTTCTGATGGCAAATAATACAGTGGTATTCTCTGAAAGGTAAACATCACCTTTCCTATCATTTAATATTTAATACTTATTCAGTAATGAAAGAACAAAATATTCTTCTTCTTCTAAGGCAATGTCCTATGACTATGAAACATGTTAACCTGGAAAGATTACAAATATGTTGCTCACATCATTTATATAATGTTCCTTTTTTCCTAAAGTTCCATGAGGCAGACAGATGTATTAATTAACTTCTGGTCTTAAAAATTTATTTTGCTTAACTTAGAAAGGATGTATTATGTTAACTGAACTTCATAAACTATTTCAAAAAATTTTTGAAAACCAAGTTTACACCAAAAAAAGGATTTATTGCAAAGATAATTTATACTGTCCTGAGTATGTAAAAATATGCTTAATAATAAAATCTTTAGTCTTCTACCTTTTGGCCAGTTATTCAGAAAGCTACACTTTTATATTCTACTTTACATACTTACAATCTGGGAGAATTACAGTTTTCAGGAAAAAAATAGTATTTGTAAATAACAGAAAGTATCTTTTTAGAATGTAAATAATTTTTCCCTTACATGGTAAGCCTTCTGTCTGCCTGTCTACATATTGGGAAAATTGTCCCAATATTGTTGAGTCCTTGTATACATCTGTTTCCGCCCACCCAGCTGCTCAGTATTGCCAGAACACCATGTACACAGGTTCTGTGCTTGGACCACACATGTCCAGCACTCTGTGGAGTCCGCTGTCAGTGGGATCCCCCTGACCACCCCTATAGACAAAGGCTCCCTCAAAATAGTTCTGTAACTGCAAAGAAAAAAAAATATACAGCATATAATAAAGGATAAAATTAGGTAAAAGTTTAAGTGTGTAAATTTGGCAAAAAATAAATAAATAAAAGGAGGGGAGAGAAAAAGGGAAGGAAGGGAAGAAGAAAAAAAAATTGTAAATGGAAATTAACCCAGATTGATATAACTGCTGTCCTGTTTTACGGATATGAGAAATCAATGACTCAAAAGACTAAAATATTTTACTATTTCAACATGAAATTTATCCAGAGCTCTAATAATATGTACATAATTCTGGAATAGGCTTCTTAAGTTATTAACAATTCATACATTTGAAAACAAATATATACAATATGTCAAAATAAACCCTTCAAGACCATATATAAGCAATCCAAGGACATGGGACTTTAGGCACTGTGTAAAAATTTAGGAAATAGGGTATCTTGAAGATTATGTTTTTTCCTCCTTGTTACTCTGAAGTCCTTATACATAAGTAGCTTCCAATGTGGATTTCTTAATTGAGACGAACATCTTGAGAGGCCAAACCCAGCTTCATTTTCTCCAGTACTAAAAATTAAAAACAAATACAAAATAATGTACTTCATGTTGACATGGAAAAATAAGAGTCTATAGTTTTAAAGAGATGTATTAAAATAGAAAGTAAATGGGTTACTTTGCTCAATGCCATCAAGAGAACTGCAATTAACCACAATGTAGAGGATTCCCAAGTTGTGGCTTAAAATCCAATCTACAAGAAAATATTCATGGGGGCCAAGGGGGTTGCTTATGACCGAATTTCAGAATAATCAATTATTTTATAGAAAGCAACATCTCACTGAGCATTAGGAAGGCAAAAATTACACTGAATTCCATAGTGATTAGATTACTATTGGGTAGTGCTTGCTTCATGGTGCCACATTTCAGAGGTTGTAAAAACCTGTACCTAATCCCACAAAGTGCAATGACTTCATTTAGAAATGGTCTAGAAATCAAGTCAACAGTAGTCCTAAAAGAAAAACAGAGGCCCACGGATAGTTGCTTTGAGACTACCCCAGATTTTAAGATATCAAGTACAAATTAAAAAAAAAAAAAAAACAAAAAAAACAAACAGGGTTTCTTAGTTTGGGTGAAAATATCTTGAGCCAACCACATATCATGTAACTTTTTTTTTTTTAAAAGATTTATTTTATTTATTTGAAAGACAGAGTTACAGAGAGAGGTAGCGACAAGGAGAGGGATCTTCCATACACTGGTTCACTCTTCAGATGGCCACAAAGGCCAGAGCTGAGCCAATCCGAAGCCAGGAGCCAGGAGCTTCCTCCAGGTAGGTCTTCCACGTGGGTGCAGGGCCCCAAGCCCTTGGGCCATCTTCCACTGCTTTCCCAGGCCACAGCAGAGAGCTGGATCAGAAGAGGAGCAGCCGGGACTAGAACCAGCGCCCATGTGGGATGCCGGCACTTCAGGCCAGGGCTTTAACCTGCTGTACCACAGTGTCGGCCCCTCATGTGCCCTTTTCTTAAAAAAATTATGTGCTGGCATACCTTACAGAAATTAAGAATGCTGTTTATGTGTGACTTTACCTCATTATCACTCTCAGAGAACAAAAAAAGGCAAAATAAATAAATAAATAAACCTCACTGCCTAGTTGTCTGTGTTTGTGTGTGCACATTTAAAAGTGAAAATGCTGAGATGATGACTGGTTTTAATCTGATACATTTTAAGCTTGCAATTCTAGAGAGCATATGGCATAATTTAGCTGCACTGCTTGGGGGTATGATGCAGGTACTGCTTCGGGGTATGAAGAACTGTTATTAGAGTTCAATGAAGGTTCCTTTTGAATGCTGCTGGAAGGAGGCGTCACTGTGGCACAGTCAGTTAAGCTTCCATCTACAGCACCATCATCCCTTATGTGTGCCAGTTCAAGTCCTGGCTGTTCTGCTTCCAATCCAGCTTTCCGCTAATGCGTCTAGGAAAGCATCAAAAGATGCCACAAGTACTTGGTCCACTGCAACCATGTGGGAGACATGGAAGAAGTTCCTGGCTCCTGGCTTTGGATTAGCCCAGCCCCGGTGTTCACTGCTATTTTGGGGGTGAACCAATGGATGGAAGATCTCTCTGTCTCTCTCTGTAACTCTGCCTTTCAAATAAATAAGTAAACGAAAGAAAGAGAGAGAGAGAAAGAAAAGCTGCTGGTGATGATAAAAACCATATTGTATTGTTAAAATGATCACATTAAGTGTTAAAGTGAACATATAGATAGGATTAGGTGTTAAAGAGATCATATAAATAGCATCAAGTGCCTGGTAATAATAATAGAATTAAAGAGGAGGGAATGTCCAACATGGGAAGCAGTCAACACAGCAGACTCATAGAATGACAATTGCTTTAAGTAACACTCTGACTCAGAATCAGCCCTTAAGGCATTCAGATGTGGCTGAAAAGCCCATGAGAGCACTTCAGGCATGGAAGCCAAAACACTGTGGCAAAAAATATCCTACATGAAGGATCTCTGTGAGTGAGATCCCAGTGGAAAGAAAGGGCCATCAAAGAAGGATGTACTTTTCTCTGAAAAGAGGAGAGAACTTCTACTTTACTTACGGCCTTATCCAAATACTGGTCACTAAAGGCTTCCATAGTCTTGGCAGCTCATGGCAAGAGCCTTAGATGACCACTGACATCATAATTAAGAGTGTTAGTTGTTAAATTAACAACAGAAGTCACTGTTCACTTACTTCCCATGTAGGACCTTGGTCCTTAATGAGTTGTACTACGAGAACTAACTGCAAAACTTGTTCTCAAACAATACTTTTTTTTTTTTTTTTTTTTTTTTTTTTTTTACAGGCAGAGTTAGACAGTGAGAGAGTGAGAGACAGAAAGATCTTCCTTCCGTTGGTTCACCCCTTAAATGGTCGCCACGACCGGTGCACTGCACTGATCCGACAAAAGCCAGGTGCTTCCTCCTGGTCTCCCATGCGGGCACAGGGCCCAAGCACCTGGGCCATCCTCCACTGCCCCTCCCGGGCCACAGCAGAGAGCTGGATTGGAAGAGGAGCAACCAGGACAGAATCCGGTGCCCCAACCGGGACTAGAACCCAGGGTACTGGTGCCAAAGGTGGAGGATTAGCCAAGTGAGCCATGGTGCCGGCCCAAACAGTACTTTTTATGTTGTGTGTCTGTGTGGGTGCAAACTGTTGAAATCTTTACTTAGTATAGAGTTGGTCTTCTGTATATAAAGTTAAATTAAAAAAGAATCTTAATGAAGAATGGGAGAGGGAGTAGGAGGTGGGACGGGAGTGGGGGGCAGGAGGGTGGGTATGGGGGAAATAACCACTATATTCCTAAAGCTGTACCTATGAAGTTTGTATTAATTAAATAAAAGCTTTTATTAATAATAAAAAATTGTAAAGAGTCCAGTCTACACTGACATAATAGAAAGTCTAACTATCCTAGAAGGAATTTGGAAACCATTAGAAACTGTTCTTGGGCTGGCACCGCGGCTCACTAGGCTAATCCTCTGCCTTGCGGCACCGGCACATCAGGTTCTAGTCCCAGTTGGGGTGCCGGATTCTGTCCCGGTTGCCCCTCTTCCAGGCCAGCTCTCTGCTGTGGCCAGGGAGTGCAGTGGAGGATGGCCCACGTCCTTGGGCCCTGCACCCCATGGGAAACCAGGATAAGTACCTGGCTCCTGCCATTGGATGAGCGCGGTGCGCCGGCCGCAGCGCGCCAGCCGCAGTGGCCATTGGAGGGTGAACCAACGGCAAAGGAAGACCTTTCTCTCTCTTTCTCTCACTGTCCACTCTGCCTGTCCAAAAAAAAAAAAAAAAAGGAAAGAAACTGTTATTATGTAGATGTACATTTGTGTGTGTATGAGAAAAATGCTGTTGAACAGATGGTCTCTAAGGTATTTCCTGAATGTTTCAAAACATCTGTCAATAGTTTAGTGATACTACACAGCAGAGACAGTCCCCAAATATTCAGTCCTCTGTATGACTGGAAAATTTTTACATAAAGGTGTGATATAACACAGAGGGACAAGAAAATAAGAGTTAATATAAAACTGACCATAATAAAGCCATTAATGAAGCAAACAGGGACAAACTTTACCAAGGATTATGTTCAAGTATTTGAAAACCCTCCTTAGAGAAGAAAAAAAATCAAATTTAAATGGACAAAATATAAACCCCAAAGCACTTTAGCTGCAAATTATTGGGTTTTCTGCTGACTGCTGCTATTACAGCAATTAATTAATCTCAAAGCCTCCAAACATGTGTCATGTAGCAAGTGCCTGCATAATTTGTTTTTAAACGTCATGAGTTTTAATGGGTAGCTATTTAATGGCAGTAAAAGATAGCACTTGTGGGTTAATGAACAACAGGACCAGTTTTGCACAATGTGTAAAATAAATGTTATCCAATATTTACTATATTTATCTTGGATTATTTCCAGTGATTCCTTTATGTAATGTATCAAATTTTACTGGCTGAGTAGCTGGCTATTTTTTTTTAACTTTGATAGTCAATTGAAAGATTAAGGAGACAAAATAAAAGATAATTTTTAAAACTTGTGGGTAGATTTTTAAAAAATCATTACTCACAAATCACTCATATCTAATAATTTAAAGCTTAGATGTCTACTGAGAAAAACCCAGTGTTGATTTTTACAACCTATGGTATAAATTTGACTCTGGGCTTTGTTACTGATCAGTTTCAATTTTTTCATATATAAAACATATATGGTGTTAGGCTCACTTCACAGGTGTGAAAATTAAATAAGGTGAAACAGCAAAGCACTTAAATAATTTCATGCACACTTAAATGTTCAATAGGTTGCTGTCAGTTTTACTATTTGTTGTTTCTTTGCCATTATTGTTATTCTTTGAAGGATTTGGTACACAAATTGTATGAATTAAGCTTTACAGGATATACTGGTATTATTATGATAGTTTCTTTTAAACCACTGGTGGGGAAATCTTCTGGCTCATGAGAAAATTACTTACTAAATTGAAACAAAGTTGTTTTAGAGAAGAATTTCTATTTGGCCACTGTATCCAGCATTTTTTTGCTTTGTTCAATGAAATGTTTTACATGGCTATTTTTAATTCTTAATGGTAATGCGATCCATATAATGGAAACTCAGAAATTATGGTCCAATGTTTTCTTTTTAGGTCATCATGTTGCATCTATGAAGATGGAACCTAAAGTTCCAAACAAATATTAGTTATTATATAAAAAGTCACCTCACTAAGGTGGCAAGATAAGGAGAACTAAACAAAATGTTTTAGACAGCCTTTAGGCTTGAAACTGGCAGTTACGGCATTCAAGGCTCTAAGGCTTTAACCTTATGTGAAGTATAAATGAAGTAAAACAAGATTTAAAACTAGAAATTGGGACTGGTGCTGTGGTGTAGCATGTTAAGCTGCCACATATGGCTCCAGCATCCTATATGGACACTGGTTCGAGTACCAGCTACTCCACTTCTGATCTAGCTCCCTGTTAATGTGCCTAGCAAAGCAGCAGAGGATGGCCCAAGTATGTAGGCCCCTGCACCAACGTGGGAGACCCAGAAGAAGCTCCTGGCTCCATATGAGCTCAGCTCTGGACATTGTGACATTACGGGAGTGAACCAACAGATGGATGAACTAACTAATTCTCTCCCCGACCCCCCTTGGTAACTCTGTCTCAAATAAATAGATAAATTTTAAGGAAAAAAAAAATTAGAAATCATTCCATGGTTTCTACTCTGACTTGGAAGACAGAACATGAAAGAGGAAAGCAATGGGTTCCACAGGCAAAGAGGAATTCTATTTCACTGGTCAATTTATATAAATAGAAAAGTTTCAAAAAGCACAAACAGAATATAAAGTAAAAATGAATTAACAAAATGACAAAAAAACAGAAAGGTTAATACAGAAAGGTTATAAAAAGAAAACACAAACACAGAAACATCTGAACTTACACATATGGATACTGGTAATGCTTTAAACTCACAACAGTTTTATTCTGCATGCACACACTCGTGTATCTATGTTACAGATAAAGACTAAATGCCACTTAATATTTGTAGCAGGAAATAAGAAGTTCATGACCTAAGGAATTATGGACATTTTTATTATTAAGGCCAACTATATTTCTGTTAGAAGGGAGTATGTTCTGATGAGAAAATTAGAATATTCCTTTCCTACTTATCTGTTTACTTATAATAAGGACCCAAAGTAAACACTATATCTCTAAGCATAAGGGTTTTAAATAAATTAAAAAGTAAAAAAAAAATTGCACATGATAACTTTCCTTTGCAACAATGACTATTAGTTGATACACAGCCCTTAAACCAAACCACTTTTGTGCCAGGCATTGTTGTTCAGTGTGTGAAGCCACTACTTGGGACCCCAGCATCTCACTTAGGAGTGCCTGGATCATGTCCTGTCTCTATTTTCAATCCAGCTTCTTGCTAATGTGCCTGAGAGGTGGTGGATGATGGCCCAAGTAGTTATGTTCCTGCTACCACTATGGGTGACCTGAATGCAGCTCCTGGTTCCTGGCTTCAGTCCGGCCAAGCACCGCTGTTGTGGGCATTTGAAGAGCGAACCAGAGAATAGTCTCTCTCTCCTTCTCTGTCTCTCTATCTCTGTCTGTCTCTTTCTGTCACCCTGCCTTTCAAACAGAGAAATCTTTAAAAGAAAATAGCTAGCTTTGTTATGTAAGACTAACGACCAAATAAAGTTCACAAAAAAAATTATGGTTTAAGGCTAGTTAGATTGGGATCTGTAAGTATACCTACATAGTTATCATTATTCCAAAGGCTTAAAAACAAAATGAAATAAAACTCTGACTCATCACTCATAAAATAACAAATTGCAAATAAATGAGACAAAATGACAAAATGGAAGAGGCAGTACTGTGAAGGTGCTATGAATATGCACATAAACCTAATAGAACCATGCTTATAGATATTCTGAACACAATGTTTACAGTTTACCTAGGGACATAAAAGGAGAAATGGGCCTGAATGACCTTAGTTCCTCAATTCGGATCACCTAATCAGTCATTCACTGACCTACAAGGTAGCCTTCTCAAAGAAGTGAGAGAACAATAGTCACAATTGGATCTGAAAAGGTTAAATTATTATATTTAATATGTATTAAGATTAATGGAAAAGCAGACAGGAAACAGCAAAAGTAGTCAAATAGAGGAAACCGATGGCAGTCTGCGAGAGTACCATTGAAAGGCCTCGTTTTACAGTTGTAAGTGACCCAAACAGTGTGACCTCTTCCTTTCTCCTGCAGACAAGAGTTGAAAGCCCTTTAAAGATCATTTCAGCAGAAAGAAGAGTTCTGATGATGCAATTTCAAAGACAATGACCCAAATAAAAGTGTTTCTTGGTGGAAAATTTATACCACTAATAGGTGGGAGTTGCTAGGCAACAGATATTGCGGTGTTTAATCTCTACCCTTGCTAAGCAATTGCATGATGGAAGAAAATAAGTCTTTTCAGCATTTCAACATAATAGTCATATCTGGAAAGTTTTAGTCTTTTTTAAAATATAGTATCTTTTATGCTAGATTAGCTTTAATTTCAGTTAACATTTAGCAGTCCACCCATATTCTATAAAAATGTGGTTCTACAATCCATAATGATGAATGGGAAAGCACTAAAATTATCATAAATCAATGGTCAACATTATATCATTATAATAAATGGTACATGTGACAAAAAACAGATATTGGTCACCAGAATTTTAGCACACATTACATGAGTTTCAAAGAGAAAATATACTTCTCTAGAGATTAGTTACAAAAGACCTATCCTTCTATAATGTTATAATTTGAAAAGACCTATAGGAAGTTCATACCTAATTTAGTATCCCATGAATCCCATTAAACATCCTTAAACTGTTATTTTGTTAGAATTTCATTTGCACAACAGGATGGGTACTGTTGACAAATTTAAGGAAACCTAAAAAACTTCATGACCATTTAAAAGCACATCTCTTAATTAAAAGAATAGAGGAATCTAGAAAAGAAGAGCTGATAGGTTTGTTATGTAAGATGCAAGTTTTCACGTGGTTCAGTCTTCCCATCAAAACAAAGGAGATTATACTAAAATATATAGTTACAGTAAGAAGATTATGCTAAAACATATAGTTAGGGTAAGGATTATTTGATACTAAATAAATGGAGAAGCACTAAATTAAATATAAAGTTCAAATAAATAATAAGGCTGTTGTCTCAGAGATGGCATCTATCAAAAATGAAAAGCTGTGATATGAATCAAAAAGCTCACCTATATAGATATTCATGCTATATTCAGCCTCAACTTTTATCAGTCTAGAATGATGAAAACAATTCCCAAACTGCTGGAATCATCCAGATATTTGCTCTGAATTCTGGTTTTCATGGTGCTCTACCCTGATTTTTCTACAGTACTTACGTAATAATCCATCTTAATTCAAAAGAGTTTATAACAATAAAAGTCAAAGTAACAATTAACTATCCAGGATTTTTATATCTCATATAATATTTTACTGCAGAACTATAAAATAAAAACCTAGGAATATTGTAGAGTTAATAATGCATGTAATACAATTACTTCAGCTGGGTGATGAGCTGTCAAAATGGCTTCATAGGAACAAAGAAAACACATCGGTTGGCAGGAGAAAAGGGTGGCTTTCCAAGAACTGTGGGACGTTCTGTGGAGGTGAGACAAACACACTGTCCTAGAAAAACTTACCTGGGCAAACTTGTGAATCTGTTCTACAACTGCGGCGAACAGCGCGTGGACACTTTCATCAATCAGACTCTGCATGTAATGCACCGCCTCCTCATCCGACAGGTCTAAACGGAATTTATCCTGAACCTACAAGGCAACAGTCTGTCAGTCTCTTTTAAAGGAAGATAGGGTCACATTTTGAAGAGACAGAATCAAAATGATATAATGACTATTCTTATGCCAAATCAAATGATTTATAACTTATAAAAGGAGTTCTGAATGCCACTTTTTGAGAAAATTTACTGGTTTTATTACATGCTCTTTATTTTGCCCTATTCTTGATGAATATGAACATTTTTTCTAAGAAAAAAGAAAATAGAAAACTTCATTCTACTAGGTCTCCAAAACATAAAGACGGAAAATCTTGTCTTTCAACTGAAAAGATATATTGTTTCTTTGAATTTCAAATCTAAAACCACACAACAGTGAAAATCAAATTTAAATCTATGTGAATTGTGACATATTCATATTTCTTAATAACCTCCTTAACTATATCCCTAGTAGTCACTGTAAAATGGATGTAGCAAGATGAAATTTTACTAACATTATCCCCCAATTTCAATGCCTAAGTAAGAACAGGGACTATATCCATCACAGGCAAAAATCAACTAGGTTTTCTAAAATGTCTCTTTTCCTATAGTAGTTCCCTATAACCCTGCAGAGCACTACTTCAGTGGGTCAAGTTTCCAGAGACAGTACATTTCTTTTAGTTAATATTTAAAGCTGGGGCCAGCGCTATGGCATAGCAGGTAAAGCTGCCGCCTGCAGTGCCGGCATCCAATATGGGCGCCGGTTCAAGTTCCGGCTGCTCCTCTTCTGGTCCAGCTCTCTGCTATGGCCTGGGAAAGCGGTGGAGGATGGCCCAAGTCCTTGGGCCCCTGCACCCTCGTGGGAGATACAGAAGAAGCTCCTGGCTCCTGGCTTCAGAATGGCACAGCTCTGGCAGTTGCAGCCATCTGGGGAGTGAACCAGGGGATAGAAGACCTCTCTCTCTATGCCTCTCCTTCTTTCTATAACTCTTTCAAGTAAATAATAAATAAACCTTTAAGAAAATAAAATATTTAAAGCTACAGTTGATTTCCAACATTAAGGACTGAAAAACTGTTAATGTGAGTATGCTCAAAAAATAAATAAATAAATAAAAGCCAATGTTACTGAATGACTGCCCTGTGTAAAACACCACATAAAGTGCTCATTATACTTGTAGCATTTCAGAAGGTACAATTTCCAGTCTAGAATCTGGAACCTGAAGCATAGACAATTTGTGAAGGCAATCCAGGTATATTTAAATGGTTGTAAGAGAGACATGCACCCAGACAATCTCACACTATTAAACACAGTCATTGCATTCTACTCTTTCTCTTCTTATATATGACTCATATATACTATTTAAAGGCAGGCTAGGCGGAAATGGAATTTCCAGCTGGATACAATATGGTCCACATTTAGTATTTCCTTTTAACTTCTAGAAGCCCAGGAAAAAGAAGGGACAGACAGTAAAATCTATAGTGCCAGTATAGTGCTCCTGCCTCTTCACTGAAGGCAGGCACCATGAAATCTGAAAGTTCTGCAGTTTCAAGATAGGGAAAGAAAGAGACACATTGATGTAAAAAGGGAAGGGCAATTCAGTAGAGAGACATTTACTAAGGTTACACCTTTCATGATACAGCTCTCTCATTTCTGGATCCCAAATAATGACACATACGTCCCTAGCGTTTAATCTTGTTTTCACTGATATCTACTTAGAGAGATATGTCTTTTTTTTTTTTTTTTTTTTTTTTGACAGGCAGAGTGGACAGTGAGAGAGAGACAGAGAGAAAGGTCTTCCTTTTCCATTGGTTCACCCCCCAATGGCCGCTGCGGCCGGCGCGCTGCGGCTGGCACACCGCGCTGATACAAAGCCAGAAGCCAAGAGCTTCTCCTGGTCTCCCATGCGGGTGCAGGGCCCAAGCACTTGGGCCAACCTCCACTGCCTTCCCAGGCCACAGCAGAGAGCTGGCCTGGAAGAGGAGCAATCGGGACAGAACCGGCGCCCTGACCGGGACTAGAACCCGGTGTGCCAGCGCTGCAGGCGGAGGATTAGCCTAGTGAGCCACGGCGCCGGCTAGAGAGATATGTCTTAAAATTTTAAATTATTATTAAGAACACAGTAATGTTACAGTTAGGAGAATCAAAACTTTAGCCCAACTCATCAAAGCTTACTTGCACCAATACCTGTATTATAAAAAGAGGTATTTAGCAAGAAGAGACAATAGTATTTTGACAAATACATAAATGTTCTTTTCTATAAGAAAAAGGTTAAGTAGATATTATTTGGCATTATATTTTCTGACTTATGTTAGGCTACCTGTTAGTGTCCCCTATGTTCTCAAGGTTCTAATTATTCACTTCAAGCTACATTCTCTGTGTTGAAACAGATAATTTCTATTGATTTACGATTAAACTCACTGACTCCTTCTAATGCCACTTCCAGTTTTTGGTAAGAATATCCAATTGATATTTCATTTTAGCTACTATTCTTCCAGCTCTATAATTTTTATTTTGTCATTTTTTTCTTTCTAGTTTTTCTTTCTCTGTTGAGATCCCCATCTGTTAAGTCATTACACATTTATTTTCCTGAATGGCTGCTGTAAAGTTCTTTCCTGATAGGTGTGACATTTGGGTCATCTCAGGGTGTTTCTTCTTCTTCTTCTTTTTTTTTTTTTTAAGATTTATTTATTTTACTTGAAAGTCAGAGTTACACAGAGGGAGAAGCAGAGGCAGAGAGAGGTCTTCTATCCGCTGGTTCACTTCCCAGATGGCTAAAATGGCCAGTGCTGGGCCGGGCGAAGCCAGGAGCCAACAGCTTCATCCAGGTCTCCCACATGGGTGGCAAGGGCCCAAACACTTAGGCCATCTTCCACTGCTTTTCCCAGGCTATTAGCAGGGAGCTTCATGGGAAGTGGGTGCAGCTAGGACACAAACCAGCACCTATAAAGATGTCAAGGTCACAGGCAGCAGTTTTACCTGCTACGCTATGACACATGGCCCATCAGGATGTTTCTATTGACTGCTTTTGTTAAACTGACTTGTGTCACATCTATCGGATTCTTCACATGTCTAATGTTTTTTTTTATTAGATACTAGGCATTCTGAATGAAACATCATGGATTCAAAATTCTGTTGTGTTCCTCTGAAGTTTATAATAGGCAGTTACCTTGGCAGCAATCAAATCCAAAATATGTATTCTCCAATGGACAATAGTTGAAAACTCTGCTCAGTTCTAAGAAGCTTCTGGCTGCTGCTTCACCCTCTAATGTGACAGGGGTTCTGCTAAGTTTCACAGTTAGGATTTGGGAAAATTTTTTATGTACTTAGAGAGAGATGTATCCCAGTTCCTCTGAATATCATCTTACTTTAATTTTCTAACGATCATACCAACTCTAAATGCTGTACTCTTACACCTTATCAGTGTGCTCACACCGGAACAGTCTATAAAGTACCTTCAAGCAAAAGGTTGCAAACATGCAAATTTTATTCTTTACTGTTCACCTTTAAAATCCTTTGTGTTTATGCCTGGGTTTGGTTACGCCCCTGTGCTTCATAGTAGTTTACTTTTTTACCATGTTGTAACATTGTTATCTGAATCAGTGAATCTGTCTTTGAAAAAGGGTAGTCTACTATTTAGTATAATAAATAAGATCAAGGGACACAATGTAATATTCACTGTGTTGTTTCTCTATCTTGTAAATGTAATTACCACCCTTATTATAATGATCCACTTGCAATATTGTACTATATTGGATCACTTTGAACCACCAATCATTCACAGGAAGTAAAACACTTTCTCTGAAAGACAGTCATTCAGCCAGTAATAAAATTTTAGCAGTGGGTAATTATAGGTGGAGTCGTCCAATTAACCACTGCCATGACCAGCTGCTCAAATGATCTAAAAGAACAAGTGAGCCAAAACATGTATTCCTTCATTTTAGTTTTATTCTTCAGAGATGCTCATCTAAGTTTACAACCATTCTTTGTGTTGGTTCTTCTGTACCTTCTCTTACTTTGATTAAACATCTCTGATGTCTAATGTGTCCCTCATGTACCACAGTTCCAAACCATCAAATATCCTGGTGGCACCTTCCCTAGGCAATCTTCCATCTTTCCATCAGCATTTAGATGTCCTGACTTCATGATGTGTCTGTACTCATCTTAAAGTATAAAACAGTGGTATAAAAACAGTATAGATTATGGTGTGACTAGAATCTCCATTCATTTAGACACTGTATTTCAAGTAGTAGATTATAGATTTTGTAGTTTTTTATACTGGCTCCGTTAGTTCATTTACATTAAGCTTCAAATCAACTAGAAGTTGAGCAGCAACCAATTAAACCATCACTTGATGTATGTGTCCAATATGAAAAATTTCTAAAACAAGTAAAAACTTTGAAAGGCATTAAGTATAGAACCCCACATTTAAGCAGTGAAAACTGAATTAGGCAAAATAAGAAACATTTTCAATTTTTATGTTCTTAACAGTCTATTTTCTTTTTAACATAGAATGATCTACTTGAGATACACGTTATTTTATTTTGCTTTCTAATTCCAAGATGCATCACTGGTAAAATTTATGATTACTACGCTGTCCTTTTAAAATCTTCATTCACCAACCAGATGTAAAATCTATTTTATTCACATTGAAATTTTTTTTAATTCTTTTTTTTTTTTTTTTTTTTTGACAGGCAGAGTTAGACAGTGAGAGAGAGAGAGACAGAGAGAAAGGTCTTCCTTCCGTTGGTTCACCTCCCAAATGGCCGCTATGGCTGGCGTGCTGCACCTATCCGAAGCCAGCAGCCAGGTGCTTCCTCCTGGTCTCCCATGGGGGTGCAGGGCCCAAGTACTTGGCCCATCTTCCACTGCCTTCCCGGGCCACAGCAGAGAGCTGGACTGGAAGAGGAGCAACCGGGACAGAACCAGCGCCCCAATCGGGACTAGAACCCGGAGTGCCGGCGCTGCAGGCGGAGGATTAGCCTAGTGAGCCGCAGCGCCGGCCTTCACATTGAAATTTGACATGCAGTAAGAAATGACCTCTTACATTTAAAGAGCTA